AACCATGCTGGTTTACCAAGTCTAACATGCGCTCTGCTGTTGGGGTGATTTTTGCCTAGTCATAACTATAGCCCGGGTTTGACCAAAAACTCTAGTCGTACAATTTTCATATATGGAAAAATGCTAATCATACACTTTTCATGCAATTCCATAATTACAGAAATTTGCATGAAAGGTCTATGATTAGTAATTATTTTCATATATGGAAATTGTATGATTAGCATTTTTTTGACAAAAAGTTCTTTTTTTATTTAGTACGATACACCGAACTTTATGCCAAAACAAGCGAAAAGTTGTTCGCAAGTTCAATGGACACCATTTTAGCAAAATGTATGAAATTTGTATGATTAGTATTTTTTCATAGACTTAGTTTATGGAATTGTATGATTATCATTTTTATCTATGGAGGTCAACCCGGGAGTCTTGATTGTAATTTATTTGATTTCGTGGCTAATATCTGAAGACTTGAAAACAGTATGATGAAAACTTGAAGCCAAGATTTCTTATTGGATGCCTTTTAATTCATTTAAACAATCGTGTGCGTCAAATTGTAGCATGCGTCCAATTTTTTTTGGTAAGACGATTCGTGATCTAATAATTTTTTGTTTTCTTTGGATTTTTTGGGTAAATTTAACTTTTCCTTGTGAGCTGAGATCTGCAATTTTTCAAACCATCAGTCGGTTGAGCGAATTTTTGATAGAAAACTTGATACTGCATCTGGAATTTTCTGGAATTTTTTTGGCATTTGATTCAAATTCACAATGATTTACTGTATTGCATAATTGTGTTGCATAATTGTACAATGATTTACTGTATTGCATAATTGTATTGCATAATTGTGTTGTGTTTTAGTATGTATCTTCATCACAGTCAGATTGAGTGACAAAAAAATGATGGGCCAGTTTATCGAGTGCTTCGATTTACCTTATTAGAGTTGCAGGTATGTATCATAATTGCCGGATCGCCCGAAAATTTGATTGGTTTAATATTTGATGGGAAAATGATAGTAGTTTGACAATCACCGCATCAGTGAAAAGATTGGATGACTAAACTTTGATGGGCCTCGATACACTCTGTGGGGGTGGGGGGGTTTCTGTTTTGTCTAATAAAAGCTGGCCCCGGGGAAGTCGCGATGGAATCTGATTGATTGATGGAAATTGTTGTGGCAAGAGAAAAAATTGAGAAGGATCAAAAACTCTGAAGAGTCCCGAATTGTCGATTTTTTTGTAGGCTAAAAATTTAATTGTTTCTGGAACGAATTGTGTGATTGTCGGCTTTAGCAATTACTACGTTGTGTTGGGCATTTGAAAGGAGGTTGCAAGAAAAGGGGAGTGTTGTTGTTTTAAGAGGGTGTTGTTGTTTTAAAAAATACTATTAAAATTCGAGTTTCTAATTATTGCTTGCAATTTTATCTCAGTCTCATCATAGTTTTTGGGTCAATTTTTTGTTGATCTTATAATCTCTAAATTGACTTTATAATCTCTATATTTTGCGTAGAGAAGTATTTTATGAACTAAATTGAAATTAAAAAAGAGAAAAAATATTCTCGAAAAGTTTTTCTTTTCAATCTTTCATTATTCTTGAAATAAAACAGACCGCAAATCGAGTATATTTAGAAAATCACCTGAGCATCTTACAGGACACAATCGTTAGAAATATGCTGTATAGCTGGTACACATCCTACATTTCAAGCTATTGCTTCGTTTTTGCAATAATTGAAGTGCTCTTTATTATCACTTGCTCACTAATGACCATTTTTTTATTTAAAAAATTTCTCCGGTGATTCTAATTATTTTGATATATCTCCGTAGAGCAAAAACTTGCTGGATAGAAAAAATCGATTAAAAAAGTTCATTCATTAAACGTTTGCTTTGTTTCATTGCCGAATTTTCGCCGCTATATTTCACTGCAAACTATTCAATTTTTCCTGTTGATTATATAAAACCGTTGGATTACAAAATTTATTGTTTTCTTTTATGGAAAAATGCTAAATCAACAATTCCATTTTATGATAAAAAAAATGTTATAGAAAAATATTATGTTTTATTACGGAGTTTAACATTCTCTTATATGCTAGAAAACTAGTCATACAGTTTTCTCGCAACTTTTGTATGGCTTTTGTATGGTACTTTCTATATATGGGCCATAGCGAGAAAATTGTATGCTTTTTTTGTTAACTCTGGATGATAATTGAACTAAAATTCAAAATTTTCAAATTAAATTCCAAATAATCTTCAGTAGATGGTCGGTGACATGAGGGTTGACTTTGAAACTCAAATCAACTACCCCGTTTTTTGATTTCCTTTAAAATTGACCGACCTTTATTTTGCTAAAAAGCAATGCGTGATCACGTTTTCCTACTTTTCCATTTTCGTTGTTTCTGAACGTTCTGTAATCAGCCGCACGTGCTTCTTTTGTAGCAGCGAGTCAAAATTCCATAACTGTTATGTTGTTGTGAGGAAAAAAAAAACGATTTTGTTTTGATATTAAATTTAGAATAGACCTTCACATAGGCATGGATCCAGAAACACTGGATCCAACTGCACTTGAAACTACTGAAGAACAATCATACTGTCAAGGAAACACAAAACATTCAGAAGATAATCCAAATAATCCTGAAACAACTCCAAATAACTCCGATTTCATTGCTGCAGAAACTGATGCAGCAAAAAATGATTCTGGTAATCTGCAAATCCATACTTCAAATGAAGAATTGCCAAATGAAACTACCGAAGAAAATATCACTTTTGAGGACAATGCCGAGAAAGCCACTTGCAGTCAAACGAAAAATCAGACCAACGAAAATAGTTTTGAAAACGACGAAAACCGAAGTAATGATGATTTGAAAATTACCAAAGAATACAGTTTTGCCGTGAGCGAAGACATGAAAATGAATCAAACAAACTGTAGCAATGACGAAAATGAAGTAAAAGCCTCTGATAGCATTATACAAGAAAACTTGGCCATAGCATCGTCAAACGCCGTTGAAAACAACACCACGACAAACCAAATTAATAAACGTTTGAACAAAGTTGATTTTTCACACCATAAATCAGCAAATTTTGGAGAAAAAGCTACGGACGGAGGCGAAAGTTTCAGTTTGTTTCACAAGAACGACGCAGCTGAAATGAGTTCGATTACATCATCGGAAAATTCCATTTCGTTCGAGCTTAGATTCACCGAATTGGATTTCCCGGGAGTGGAGAGAATTCAGATTGTGGATGAGATTAGAAACATTTACTCACAGAATAGAAAAACACTTCCTCACTTCAAAGGTAGGTGGGGGTGAATTTTGGGGTGAAAAACGATCTTTATAGTGATTTGAGAGAGCTCAGAAAATTAATCATCGGTCCAAAAAATTTTGAAAATCCGCTCCTACCGCCCCCACCCCTCGGGAAAATTCTAGATGCGCCCCTTGTTGGATCCTTGAAAACTTTTACGAAAAATTCACCATTTTTGAGAACTTTAAAACGCAACTAAACCAAGATGTTTTTTTTCAGAAGCGTATTTCGATATATAGTCATATTCGGCTAATTTTCCTTCTCTCCGAAGTTAAAGTTTCATTTACAAAGTAACCAAGTTGTTGGGAAACTGTTTTTTTTTTAAATTTCTAATAACTTAGCTTTCTGTTTTTGTAGAAGCGTATTGTGATCATGAGAACGTGGTATTTCGGGACTTCGTGGAAGAGTATATTTTCATACTCCGAAACACATTCACCATTCCAGAAGACTCTGAGAGGTATTCTATTTTAGCTTCAAATCCGATCCGCAAAAATGCCAATAAATGGAAAGCGCCAGCCATAAAGTGCAACTTTGGTAAACTGTTCATATAATCGGCGTAAATGTTACAGTTTTGGCACATTTTATTTATATTTGCGCTAACTTTTGAAGAAAATAAGATTTTTTTGTTAAACTTTATTTCAGAAAACTAATTTTTTCGATTGAAAAAACGTGGACAAACTTTTTAAATTTTTTTTTTAAATTAAGCTTGCCCTTGCGAAAATGGTGACAGGACAAAGTATCCCATACGAAAGTATCCCATTGCAAAACATCCCATAACAATGTATCCCAATGGATACAATAGCCCATACCAAAATAGCCCACGTCAATTGAAATATCCCATAGAGGATTAAAAATTAATTTATGATATAGATTACCAAAGATTGGTGCATTTATCTATATCGCAATTAAAAAGAGATTTAATTCAACCGCCTCAACTATTTCAAGACGCCATATAGAGATAGTGAGAATGGTAAAAGACTCTTTTCTAGGGATTAAATATTATTTTTCAAACTGTTAATGGAGTCACAATTGAGAAAAATTTGATAATAAAACACAACGCAAAGACATATCATTAAACACATAGCACCAATACAATGAACACCAATATGACAGAATTTATCTACGGTAAAACTCAACAAGGCAAAACGTTGCTTATCTTGGACGGACACGAGTTCACTAAAAAGCGAGACACTAAATCTACCACTCACTGGCGTTGTGCAAAATGGCGTTCACATAAATGCCCAATGACTCTAATAACTTGCGACAATTTCATTATTTCGTTTAATAACGAGCACAGCCATGAGTATAACCCCGGTCGCGTAGAAGCAAGGCAGCTGGTTAGTCAGCTGAAAAAAAAACAGCAAAATTGCTAATCAATCCTGTAAACAACCAGTTGATAGAAGCTAGCCTCAAGACTGTGAACAATAATCCGGCAATTCAGCTTTCACTTCTTTCACGTGCAGCTCTGACAAGAACCCTCAATAGAAACAAAATGCAAGGACCACTCGAAGTGATTTCATCCACCGACCGTCACTTAGACATTAACGACAAATATTTACCTTTTTGTCTACATGATAGCGGAAAAGAAGACAGTGAGCGATTCCTTATTCTCGGTGACATGCAAAATTTAAATGCTCTTCGCATTCATAGCAAAGTTTGGCTTTGTGATGGAACCTTCAAGATATGTCCGGCTTAGTTTTATCAATTTTACCCAGTACATATCCAGATTGGCGGCTTCTATCCCCCTGCGTTTACGCTTTGCTTAGCAACAAGAAGGATTCCACTCATAAAAGGTTTCTTGAAGCCCTGATTAGCCTTATTGGAGACATCGTACCCAAAAAAATTCACTTTGACTTCGAACAAGCTGCCTTAAACGCATGTTCGTCCCTATATAAAACTGAAATCAAAGGTTGCTACTTTCATTTATGCCAAAGCTTTTATCGCAAGCTTTCAGAGTTAGGTCTGAAAAAACCTATGAAAACAACGCTAAGCTAGCCTTAATCTTAAAAATGATCCCAGCTTTAAGTTTTGTTCTTTTCTCAGATGTCGAATCTGCGTTTACTCTTATCACAGACTAAATTTGCCAATTTGGCAATCAGGTTGACATTCCAACTGATATCCTCGAGAAAATTGACGAGCTCGCATCATATTTCCAGAAGACTTATGTTAAATGAGAAACAATTGGTCGACAGCAGCGTGACCCTTAGTTCCCCCCAGCTCTATGGAATCATTACGACAACCAATGCAGTTGAAGGCTGACATAACGGCGTTACGTCGCTTTTCCAGGGCAGCCACCCCTCAATTCATACGTTTTTAGAAAAAATTCAGCTTGATTCTTACAACGAGAAGTTCAATGTTCTGAAAGCAACCAGCGGTACCACCAATCAAACCCGTAAAAAGTACCGAGAACTCAATGAAAAAGTCCGAATGATAGCTAACTCTTATAAAAACTCGGATATTACAAGTTATATTCAAGGTCTGGCTCATTTAACACTCTCCTAGATTTCATTTTATCAAATTGTCGGCATAATTTTCTCAAATTGTCGGCATTTTGTTGCATTTTTAATTGATTTTCCAAAAATCAGAAAGATTTTTGCTTTATAGCCATCGTAGAGGTACCATTTTTTGGGAGGTGATAGAGGCCAAAATGAAAATAATTTTGCCTTTTCCCTCACCCAGGCCCCATGTATCGGTTACCCAGTACAGGGGGGATTTAGGGGTTTTGGGGACAATTTTTATGGATTTCGAACTAAAACTTTTAATCCACCGTGAATCGATCGTTTGATCTTTTGACCAAGAGTCATATTCCTTTATATTGCCAAGTGAGCTTAGAAAGTCATATCTTTATGCTTTGACAGTCAAAAGATTGGTAGAATTAAAACGTGCATTGAAATTTTCACGCTTTGAACAGAATTTGATTTCACGCGCTTTTTCAAAAGTTAGCATTGCTTTGATCGGTTTGTTCAATTTCGGCGTCGTGGTTTCAATTCCTTTGATTATTTTTTTGCGATATTTAAATTGTTTCGATTCCTCAGATGCGATATTTTAATTAGCGTGGGCTACATGGTCCTGGGTTATTTTTACTTCTGAGATATTTTTGACTGGGATAACTTCGCCTGCGATAAAAAGGCAAGGGATAAATTGTCATGAAACCTGCGAAAATATTAGATGCGTGGGTACAAGTTAGCATCCTCTCAAAGCATTTGGGGGGGGGGGGGGGGGCTGGAGGATTCACTTTGAGATCGTCAGATCGTTTAACCGATACCCTACCATGGCAATGATAGCGTGTGAGGACGAGCTCTCACTTGACCTCTAGCTTCAGGTCTACCACAGCCTGACCAGTTACGACTGCAATAGTGGTACCACGGGAAAGCTCTAGAGGCAAAAAAACGGCCTTGAGTCGCAAAAAAAAGCTTCGCTCAACAAATAACTCAGTCTGGAGTGTGGGGAAATAAGAGAAACGGACAATGCTTAGACAGGCTAGATGGCCTTTCTTAGATCATCTGCGAATCGCAGAAACCACCAATTCCTGCATCTAGTATTTTTGCGAGAAAAAGCTAAGTCTGAAAAGTTGAAATAAAAATTGCATTTACCGACGTCTTTTAAATCGAACAAATTAATTTTCTGATGCTAAGTTTTAACACGAAAATTTTTTTTTTCTTTTGCTCAAAAGCTAAGACAACTTTTGATTGTTCAGATTTGGTCAACTTTCTGTCTGTTCAGGTTTTCGCTGTTGATCAACGAAGTGCTGTCGGGTCCAGTGTTGTATCACGAGTATAAGAAGTTGCTGCTTGAGGAGGTGAGTCACCCTCGCTTCTTCTGGGGGGTTAGCAGCTATGCGGAAATAGACACCAACGGGGATGGAAAGATCACAGAGGACGAGATTGGTAAGACAAAATTAAACACAGAAGAGTTCACAGCGACAACATTAAACACAGCGATACAACAAAAACAAAAAAAACTGAAAGCGAAAAAAAGTGAAAAAAAAAGAAAAAAAATAGATCCACGAAAGTTTGAATTTCAAACCATGGGTGAATGACAAGCTAAAAGTGGGAAGGGGCTTGGAAGTTGCTATGGATCGATAAAAAAGCAACATCAATTTCTTACAAATGTGAAGAAAAGTTGTTTCTACGGAAAAAAGTCTAGTTCCTGATAACAAGACACTTGCTTTCGAAATGTAAAAGTACGAAATGCAAAATTCTTAACTGCGAGTAGCCATACTGATTTTGAAGTTTTAAGCGAGAAATGATACTACATGGTTGTTAATATTTTTTGTCTTTTTACACCCGGAAGAATATTTAGAACCATAGCAGTAGCGGATTAAGGGGATAGAAGGGGGAGCTTTTTTTCTGAAGGCAAATTTTCGCCAATGTTACTAAATGTGAGGCTAAGAAGATTTTTTTGGTTAAAGCCGTGCAAAAACTGCCAAAAAAAACATTTTCTTTAGAAAATTTGATCGGAAAATCAGTCTGATCGACCTGATAAAATAGGAAGGAAAACCTAAATCTGCTCTTAAACCATGACATGTTTTGTATTCATGACGCTTCATTGGTTGTCCGTAACAAGTTGAACATCTCTTTTTTTATATAGTGAATAAAACCTCACAAAAAAAGTTTATGAAATTTTTATTGGAGCATATTAGACGAATGCTTGGTTCTTAAATTTGAAGGACACTTTCAAAATGGACATCTAAAAACCAGCATTTCTCGACAATTAGAGTGAGGTCTGAGTTCTTTTTAGCGTCCAAATTCGGAAAAAGCAAGAAAAAGATGACGAAACTGAAGGCGAAAGAGCGGACCAAAGACGACCACATCAGTCTGACGGAGTTTCTGGACTGTTGGGACCATGCGGGCAAACAGAGCAGAGCCAAGTCCAAACAGGGCACAAAAGGGGAGGGGCAGACTGATGATCAAACGAAGGGGCAAAGAAAAAATAAAGCATTCAAACATGACAAGACTTATAACAGTAATGACTTCCCAGGTTAGAAACCAAATTTTGAAATCAGATTCAACTCTTTTTGTTTCAAATGATTAGATGTTCGAAATTGCGAATAAAATATTTTGAGATGGTGCTGAAATTTGATTGGCTAATTCTAGCCAATCAGTTTGAAACAAATTAGTTTCTGTTTAAGATCATGATGTTGAAATTTTATTTTTCGGGCGGAATTAATATGCACACTGAAGAACTTTTTCAGTTTTTTTCTTTTAATTAGTTGCGCCATTTAACAAAAAAGCATTTGAACGGAAAACTTTTTAAAATCTACCTTTTTTGAGTTTTTATAATGGATATGATATTCTTGAGTGTAAATGCTTGACCATGTACAGCTCATCAGACAACACTGTACAAGCTTAAATATCAAGTAAATGAAACTTAAATCATGTTGGAACCTGATCTAAACTACATTTTATGATTGGATAAATTAGATATTTTACCACTGTAAAGTATTTAATATTAACCAATCATGATCCATCTAACTAACAACCCACTTATTTGTAAGGGCTGAAATTACTTGTAATTTCAGCACCAGAGAGATTTGAATTTAACTTAGAAATTAGTTGCCTCTCCAAGAGAACTTCAGCAGCCGCAATAAACCAGTATACCCTAGATCTATTAAGCCTAGCAGAGACTAGTTAAACAACCTGAGACTAGATAGTATACGAGTAAGATTAGGATCGGTATTAGACTAAGAAGTTGCACGAATCTATCCGGCCGAAAATAAGATAGCGTGACGAGCAGACGGTGTACCCTATCCGAAATTACTCTATGAGTTATACACTTCGGTTATAACTCATCTGGTGCGACCATAGGTCTCGAACAAGACCTTAATAGCTTAGAATTAACCAAAAATAGATTAGAATTTAGACAAAACATTTTTAAAATGTTACACGACGATAATTTAATCGAAATGTCTCTACGACTCAATAGATCAAAGCCAATATTCCGAACGATAAGAGAACTACCCGGAATTGCAAGAAGACCTCGAACCAGAGACGACATACGACAAAGTAGAAACTTACCATATAGTTATATGATAGTTCGGCAAAAGCCAACACAAACTTTTGTATTTAGAATACTACTAGCAATGAATTTAGATTTTCATTTGCAAACATAAAATATTGAAGTCAATCTTCAAAATCATTTCAGGCGCTAAACAAAATTATTAATATACAATAACGATTGATAAAAAGATCTCAGATCGTTCTCCTAAATTCTGCAGTAATATACAAAACATGTTTGAAAAATATTTATTGAAAAATCAAAATAAAAATTAGTAGCATGACAATAAATGGTTAGTAATCATAAATCATCCTGTTGTTCCAGCTTCATCACCTAAACATAACAGCATTCATAAGCTCACTAATATTACAAAAACACTAAATGTTTTTTCTGCACAAATTTAAATCATTTTAAACTTAATTTCACTTAAATTTAAAATCAGATCATCAAGGCTCATCCTTGGATCTTAAATCATTTTCTATTTAATTAAATTTAAAACTTGATCATCAAGGCCTATCCTTGGATCAAAAAGAACAATTTTGTTCTCCCCCACCCACTTAGCTAGTGTCTAACGACCTCAAACGTCGATTCACTATCCAACCCTTTCTAAAAACCCAGGACTAACAGAAATTTTTGAATAAAACTAATCATTCAAATTAGGATAAACAGCGAAGAACTTCGGTTATTCATCCTTCACTTGATCCCCCCTCTTACCAGACCCAGGATAAATCTTAGACTTAGTAAGTTTAAAATAGTATCTAACGAACTACTCGCGTTCTAATTATACCTGAACCTTGTGGATCGATTTACTATTCTCCAACCCTGAACACAATCACTACCCTTAAGTAAGATTAAGTAAGTTAACACCTTAGCTTATACTAGCCACGAGAAAGTAAAAAATCATTCTTCGGAATCGATATACTTTTCTCCCCAACCCTGAATAAATAGACCCAGGTTAGGCTAACCAAAAAATTGTAAGGACTAACAGTCTAAGAAAATAGAAATCATTTAACAACCTTTTGCATCCGTCATCCTAAACCTTATGTCATTTAAAAACCTAGGAAATAAACAAACAATCGTTTTACACAATTGTGAAATAGATAACAAAAAATACGATCTTGTAATCACACCTCATACACAAACAGTTGGATATATCAGAACAAAACGACAAACATTAAAAAGAAAAATAATAACCAAACAAAGACAAATAACACGAAAAAGATTTTCCAAAAACCGAAACGCATTTTCAGAATCAGAAACCAGCAGTTTAGACGAACTTTATAAATTAAAAGAATCTATAGATAAAAATTGCCCCATTCACGATCAATTATATTTTTCCGACTCAGAAACAACTTCAAATTCATCAAAAAGAGGAAAAAGAAGAATAAAAAAACAATATAAACACAAACCAGTACATTTATACAATTGGAATTAACCAATTAGACACATCGATAGTTACATATTAACAGTCATCAAACGAAAAAATGAGCTCAACACACACCCCAGGTGAAGAAAGTCCAGATGATGATGATATCTTCCCCTTTATCGTAGAAGCAACCACAGATAGAGGACAGCACATATTTTGCAAAAATTTACTCTTAAATTTGTTTGAACCCGGAATCAGTCCATGTAAAACAGAGTTCCCAGATGTAAAAATCAAAAGACAAATTATCGATCACTATTTGAAAGATATATGCAACTTAACACAACAATACGGAATCTACTCCATACAATTCAGCTCACCAAACCAGCATCACAGCAAATATATAATTCAAACAGACGACCTTGATTTAGAATTCTCAAAAGTATTCTCAGAATATATAAAAAGCATACAATATCATAACTCACAAAGAGCAAACTCCATATTCACCAATGAAGTTTTTGCAATAATATAAAGTTATATCTCGATATTAGAAACCGAAATCCCAATCTCAAATGTCTCACCGACAGAAACATCTAAACATATAAGAGTACGACATGAAATCACACTACTCTCTAGTTTTCTAAATATAATTAAAGAAAATTTCACTAAAGATGATGTTTCACAAAATACAAAACATGACTTACAAAAAATCTTGGCATGGTTTATAATAGATTATTTCAAACATAATCTAGATTTAATTTCACAAGCAAGAAAAAATTTTAGACCTCAAAACTCAAACGATGATACTGCCATCACAGAACAGTCAGACTATGTTTGGGACCCCTAATGGTCTCATCCCGCATTCATAAACTTCCCACAATCAATCTCAAGTCAAGCAATAAGTACGATATCTTATGTAAGAGATTATGTAAAAGTAATACCATTAACCATTGATGCAACACCATTAAACTATAATACATTTTTACCCGATATGCAAAATAATAGTTTAAACTCCACAATCATACAAAATGAAAACCTCAATGGAACTAGAAATCTCACCCAGCAAGATATCCAGACACCATCACACTTCATAAATGAAGAAATCGTACACACAACAACTACACAACAAAGCATTTCACCGATACGTCCAAATTTAACAACACCAAGAAACACAAACCCTTCACAAACACAGGTAACCTTACAATCAACCGTTAAACCTTCGGTTGCCCCAAAATATTCAAACATGAATTATCAGACATACAGACCCATGACAATACCGCCAAAAACACGTAAAACGTTCACTAGAAACAATTTTGCAGAACATAATTATAATTACACACATCCATCAAAAACAAATTATCCCCCACGAAAAAATTTTAATAATTACACAAGATCTCGTAACTGGGATAACCCAATAGCACAAACTAATTCAGTAAATTTTCAAACAAATTTACATCCTTCACAGGATCGTAGTGAAAACTATCCATTTTTTCAACAAAATAAAAATAAAAAACAAACATCTTATCAAATGGATTACTTATTCTCAGATGATGATTTTTTACAACCAGATATATTTGCACCATATAATCAAGAATATCGTGGACAAGGAGTACAGAAACCACATACAAATCATAGAATTTTTTCCCCACAACCGATAGATACACAAAATCAACAACCAATTCAGCAACAAAACCCAATTAATACACAATATTTTCAACCAATTCAGCAACAAAACCCAATGATCACACACTCGTATCAACCGACGCAAATGCAAAATGAAATACCACTCCCATATTATCTTCAACAACACGAATTAACAAGAAATCAACTTTCAAATTTTTCTCAAATGCCAAATGCAGCAGAATCATTACAAATGACAATGAATCCATACCTTATGGGTGGATAATCAATAACATCAAATAAACCTTTAATGGTATTCACAGGAACAGACCCTGAATATTCTGTAGAAGACTATTTAAATGCAGTAACAGCAAATTTGATTTTAAATATAGGACCTGAACCAATTAATACGCCACTACATCAAAACTGGATACATCGACGCACAGCGTTGATACAAACAACTTTAGACGGCGCAGCCCAAAAATGGTTTTCAGTATTGCCTCTAGAAATAAAATCAAATTGGAAGAGATTTACACAAGAATTTTCAAAAATGTTTGACTCCGAAAGAAACAAACGACAACAAAGAGTTTTATGTAATGAAATTCGCAGATTACCAAATGAAACCATCAAACAATTAGCAGTACGCATCGAAACACTAGTTCGAAAAGCATATTCATTAAATACACACGACTATAAAAACACAAAAATGACAGAAATCTTAATGATGACCTTAACACCTCAATTAAGGAAAATAGCAATAAAAAAGAGAGCATCCCATCCCTCCTCAAGTCGAGAGCCCGATTTAGATTTCCGAAAATTAGTAGACAAACTAGAACAAGCAGAAATCACAATGAAACTCGAAGAAACAGAAAATCTGAAATTACAATACGTTAACCGAATCGAAACAAATACCACAAGTATCAACAATATACAGGAATCAGATACAGACCTCGTTGAAAAAATCACTGAAATACTCAATATTTACGAAAAACACCCAAAC